GCTGGCATTGGCTCTATCAGACACAGGGGAAGCTTCTAGCAGCTTCTCACAGAAGCCACCCCTGTAGACCCCTCTGCTACCAAAACCTTGCCACGCAAACCCAATACAACTTGAAAACATCACTTCAGTTCAGCAATTCAAAGTAGCTTGACTTTCTAGAGGCTCTCTGTTAACAGCTAAAACTGCTGAACATTTGCCAGGTTTCTTTTGCAGTATTATTTCTAGCACTTCTTTTGTCCTTAAAGACGGTAAATAGAGAGTAGTCTCTATCAGACTAATCTATATAAAACTGATCACTAAAACCAAAAAGGTAAGTAAATATACAATCTCTTGAATAATATATGTTTGAGTTTTAGTATATCTGTGGTCATTAGTAAAATAATTTCCTAGGGAGTCTCAGAATTCCAAACATGCAGCTTCCTATGACGTACATTAGGAGCTGAGACGCCACTTTGAAGGAAAAAGTGAAAAGCCCGCTGTAATTATACCATCTTGAAAGACTGTATGATTTAAGGTTTTTTAAGTCCCATGAGGTTCTAATGCTATGTGACCAATGACTTCCTTCAGCTACAAGATATCTGCCATGCAATTTGTCATCACCATTATTATTTTCTTAAAAGTTAATGGGTTTTAAAGCAAGCAAAATCCAAGAGTTTCTTCCCAAAAAAACCACAACAAAATCAAAAATAAAGCAAAAACAGGGCATTCAAAAACCCTAACCTATAAAATAGCTTAATGGGTATTTCTTTAGTCAGAATGATATTAACTAAAACAAGAAATCACCCAATCAATACATACAGTGGCTTAGTCATTAATTGTTCTTGTTGATGTATAGAACCTAGGTCAAAATATTCGATACAAATTTAACACAGGTTCATTCTTTCTTTATATTTTAAGTCAACACACAATGACTTGATAGAAAAAAATTAACCTTATAAATTAATCTAATGGCTACTTTGTACTGGAAACAGTAATAAACTGGTTTGTATAACTTGAGGGAAAAACCAGATAAATTGAACTGTTCATTTGAAATTCAAATTAACTAAGTTATAGCAGCTCCCACTTCTGTTATACATAGCAACTCATGTAGTTTATAAATATTAAGCCACACTTTATTTTATTAATAGCCTCCATACAAAGCATAAACCACAGAAATAGTTCAAAATGGATTATGAGCACTGTTATATTCATTCGGTGAGTACTACTACTTGCATAACATCCCTTCCTAAAAAGTGAAGGAACAATTTCTGTTACTTGATATGGCAATTTAAATCAACATCTTCATCTCACTCCTTTTTTAAACCTAGTTGCCTTCATGATTTGTTTTTAGCTAAGATCAGGGAGCTGATCTAGATCTACCAAAAGTCATGCTGATGCAACATACAGGAGGCAGGAATATCAGTAACAAAATGTAGCAGGGACAAAAAAACGCTTAAGTACTCACATCACTACCACCAAAACAAAATTCTCTTAAAATAGAGACTTATTTTCAAGGAATAGAATTTTACAAGAGTACAGGCTTCCTGTAGATAGGACATACCTATAGTGTCCCCTGCACTACATTAGGCCCCTGCTTATTTTTTGAGGCACCACATGGCTGGTCTTGCATATGCAACTCACTTTGTCCAACTTTATCTAAAAACTAGACCTTTAGCCCACACTGGTTGCCTAGATCTCCCGTGCAGAGGGCAAGCAGCTCCAGAAGACAAGTGCTAAGATATCTATGCAATGACACGCAGGCAAAGACACTCAAGACAGCCAACAAACTCTGTCATCTTTTGGAGTTACCTATAGTTCTCCACTGACCATGAAGGGATCCTAGACAACTATCTCAGTTATACTACTTGAAGTTTGTGTTAAGTACCATGGCATTTTCACAGACAAAAATCTGAGACAGTGTGAGACAAACTGGACCCTTCCATGGCATCAGCAGAGACTGCTATTAAAAGATGGGCATGTTTTTATTCCTGTCTGCTGAGGGAAAATCCAGGGGACTGGATCATCCCTAGATCTCCTACAACCCAGCATCATGCCCAGCCAAATCTGCCAAGCAACATGTTTATCTTCATGTTTAAGAGGGATGACTCAAGAGACAAGAAGGGACAAAAAACTAATAAATCCAATAGTCTGGCTAAATAGTGGTATCTTATTTTGTTTTTTGTTTCTGTAGTCATTAACCATTAGTTAAAGAAATGTGTCTGATGTCCCTAAGGATGCTGTATGGAAGAAGTGAATGAAATATTTGTATGCTTAGGCCAAAAGTTGTGACAAAAGATGAAGGCATTTTCAACTTCTGTGTGTGGTAAAGGTGTACTATGTAGTTTATGTCTAACAGAAACACGGTGCAAAAAACCCTATTTCATTTATGGTAAGTATTCCTCAAAAAAGGTACAAATTAAGGTGAAAGTGAGGCAGGGTCATAACATATTAGAAACATGAGAAATTGCAAAGAAACTAGAAGCAAAGAATTACTAGGGCAAGGACAAAAGGGAAAACCAAACCTATTCGCTCAGGAAGTTACTTTAAGAGCTAGAAGTACCAAAAGTCTTGCTAAAACTAAATTTTCCAAAGATGTTAAAAATCAGGAGTTTACCAATTACAAAAGAATAACAAAAGCAAACCAAACCGGGGGGATGTTGCAGGACAAAAATTGTAGACAAACAAGACAGCCCAAAAGCAAGAATGAATTGTTTGCCTTGGTTTTCACTGGGGATAATGATACTGACAGTGAGAAAAGTGAGGAGCAGGAGAACAGGGTGACTAACAGAACTGAACTGGCCACTTTCAGCCACACTGAGAATGAGCTGGAAAAGACCTTGAAACAATCAAGTTACAGCAGCAAAGGAATCAGGACATAATAGAAAAGGGCCGTGAAGTCACCAGTCTGGTAATCAGTATAATAACCTGTATGTGCAATAAGCAGTCAAGGCATGGGTTGTACCGCTATGACTGAAAAACAGCAAATAAAAACATATTCAAGAAGAGGGAAAACAGTCATCCAAGCAACTGTTATCCACTGCTTTAATTTGTAGGATGCAGGACTTCAGATCAAGTTTTGAAGAAAGAATGGAAGTGACAGAAGCAGAGATACAGAGGCAAAATTAATATAAAACAAATCATGGATCTACCAGAAGTGAACTGTACCAGACTAAGATTTATTATTCTTGTTAGGAAACCTACATGATTTCTAGACAAAGGACACAGTACATTTCATCTATCTGGGTTTTAGTGAAAGTATTAATTTAACAATACTGCACAGTAAACAAGTAAAGCTAGAGGTTTTTAAATGAGTAAGGGTTTAATAAAAGAGAAGACAGAATGAAATGTGTTGAAAAGGGAGGTATCTGGAAAAGTTACTAGTGGAGTTCCCAGCAATTGGCCTCTTTAGTATTTTCATGAATGACTCTGGCACAAAAATAAGAGTGTGATAATGGAAAAAAATAAGGAGGCACCATCAAAACAGAACAGGATTAACATAATATACAGGAGGACCTGGAGGACCTCGATGACTGCTGTAATAAAAATTGGACGAAATTCAGTAGTACAAAATGTAAAGCCATGCACTTGGGGACCAATTAATTAAAAACATGCATCTTTCTCCTATGAACTAGCAGCTCATCCCTTGGAAAAAAACTGGGAAAGTGAAGGACCTGCTGGCTGTACAAGCTCGTTACAGATGGACTGAACTGCCAGTACAAGGAAGCTGTGAGAAATCTAAAGAGGTGCAAAAGGGAGGCAACTCCACTTGTGACCAGGATGCTGCCATACAACAGTAACACAATGCAGTGAGATCTCATCCAAGTATTGCACATGACTTTGATAAGCTTATAACAGGAGTAGAAAAAACTGCTAAGAAAGTAGGGGATTTAAGCTTCTGGCAGATAAATACAGAGGATACTAGAAAGCTTGGCACATTTAGTTTAGCAAATCCAAGGCTGAGAAGAAATAGGATTGCTTTCTGTAAAACAGCAGGGCAGTATTCATCAAAGAACAAGATTATCTGTTAAACCTAAAAGTTTATTTTGGTATAAGATCAAGTGGGCAGAAAATAGGTGGATTTTTTTTTTTAATCATGAAGTTGATAAGGCTTCTGGAATAGAATTCCTATTAGAGTGGTAGGAACAAGACAGAAGTATTCTTAAGCTGGAGAAAAAAAATGCTAAATGACAGGGGCTGCATAAGGTCCCTTTCCAATTCCATGTTCCAAAACCCACTATTATTAGTCATTACAGAAACAATATAAAACATCCCCGATAGCAGACATATGGAAAATTAAATGTAATTCCAGAAGGGGGGAAAAGCATATATATAAGCTTTGCAAATAATGTTTAAATTTGGGGTTATAGCCAGAATCCACAAATATAAAGACTCTTTATATAAAATTGGAAAATTAGAACTACAGCTCCACCTACTCTTACACTGTGTTAGGGCAGGGGGGCAAGGGTAGAGGCTGGGGGAAGACTGAGTGGTTTGCATGAAAGTGCCATGTGTGATTTCTAGACTCAATCCTAACTTTTCTAAGAGAAAAACCTCATTCTAGAAGGGAGCAAAGAAATCTCTCTAACCTAACTCACAGATCAACACCAGAAAAGTTATGACAGGTGATCTCAATTCTTATTTCAGGTCTATACTGTAGATGCTCCAAGAGGGGAAAAAAATGAAAAAAGGTTTAGAAAATTAATTTCTGATTTATACGCTGCTTTTTAAGACAAAAGCAAAAGGTACTAAGCAGGTGTCGGAGTAGTCTCGTTTAAAAACAGCTTACTCTGAAGTACCACAATCATTTCCAAGCACATAAACATTGAAGACGAACTTCATTAATATAACACGTACAGAATTTCTCTCTCTTTTGCCTAATCTGATAAACTGTGGTAGCTGCTTCCCATTCTCTATAAATAAAATGAAAGTCAGTAGCAGAAAATTGCTATCGTACAATTATCTAGATAATCAAATGGAAGTCATGATCACAAAAAATCAATCCCATTACACCTAGAATTGGAGGGGAGTGTTTTCATAGAAAACTTTTGGCTAGAAAGGACCCTCAGAGTTCATGTAATGCAACCTCCTGCTCAAGCAGGTCTAAGGAGATGAGGTTGCTCAGGGGCTTGTCCAGTCGTGTCTTGATCACCTCCAATGACAGAGATTCGCTAAACTCCTTGGGGATTACTAGAATGCATTCCAATCACTGAAATTACCAGTATGGGAGGGCACTTTTCTTCTAGTTGTCTACCATGTAGTAAAAACAGTTATTCTGGGTGTGAGAATTTGAGTAATAAATGGGAAAAAAAAAAACCCTAATCTTTTAAGTTCTTACTTTTCTAGCTGTATTATTTTAAAATGAAGCATTTAATCCACCAAGACACATTAACAATAAAAAACGTTAGTCTACATCCTTTCTATCTCCACTTTTTTTACACATTCAATATTTTAGACAAACAATCCACCATTATTGGTTAAAATCAATGTAAGCATGCAGATTAATTTTCAAAATAAAAATAACTCACAATATATAACCAAATTTGTCTATTTAATTAAAAAATATTTTGATTTAGTGACATTTTCAAAGAGTGGAAATAGAATCCAACTAGGTATATTTTTAAAAGCCTTAAAATCAATTTAACATATTTGCTATAATCCATAGGTTTGCATTAAAATACAAAACACATATAAAAAAACTACAATTGTTCTACATACCAACAAGCCTTATTACATTCAGCGTAGTATTTGTTAGGATAGGTGCATTCACTTTATTGAGGTTATAATCCGATCTCTTTCTGCTCCTCAGAGTTTCTCGAGAAACACTTTAAAGAAAACAAAACAAAATACACCAAATGTGACTGCCTATTATATTCAAGGACATACAAATAAAATTTAGTAAAAAATAAATCCTTCCTCCAGCCTTCGTTCACGTAACAGTACATCTTCCAGTGCAGTATTTTATTTATGCCAAAGCATAACTGGGTTAGGATTCTAACATTGAAAGAGAGAAGCCTGGCCTAATTTACATAAAATTGTCCCAGAGAAAGGAGTTTATGAGTTGTAGTCCAAGGCCTGAGTTATTCAGGCCTCTGTCTGGCCTCAGCAATCCTTTTAACCACTCTGACTCATGTTCATAGTTTATGAAGTAAAGAAAATGAAACCAACGCAAGTCACAATAAAACAGGGGCAGATCAGTAAGCTACAGCTGAAAAAAAATATCTGGAAATTGAAACAATTTTGAGGAAGATGAAACTAAAAAGACATTAAATTTTTCATAAATTGTAGTCCTGCAGAGGAAGCAGGGAGTTGGACTCAATGATCCTTATGGATCAACTTGAGATATCTAGGATTCTGCAAGAGAAACCTTCTGCCAGCTGCCACACCTCAAAATGATTTCTTCCAAAACTTCAGAATGCTTCAATTTCACAGTACAAAGCTATGAACAGTGACTGTGGTTTGTTCCAATTAAATAATTTTTATTAATATCTCCATCACTTCTTTGAAATGAAGTAGTGATGTACGTTATGAAACCATGCTAACAATATTTTATCCTAAAGAGTTATTTTGTAAAAAAACCATTCCTTTACTTTGACCCAAGTGATGGCTTTCTAGTTCTCCGGCAATCCTCTACATACAAATAAACTCTGAATGGACATCTAAGTAGCACAGTGTCCTAGACAGAAATTTGTATTTCAGGTCCTTTTAAAGGCTACAGAGTTGGCTTTTGTTAATATGAATATATATAAATAAA